TACTACGCACATGAATACCGTTCGTAATAGAGCCGCGTTCGTCTCCGGCCGGCTACACAATTTAACTAACGCTAAAAATAAAATGCCCTAAAGGCACAAATTATTATTATATAAGACCTGCGTACGACCTACGCACTTGTACAAGCTGCAAATAGTACAAAATAAGTTCATCCGCTGTGCAACCGGTGCGCAGTGGTATCAACGCAACGTCGATCTGCACAGCGATTGCAGACTCCCGACGATTCGCGAATATTTTAAAGTCCTGACCAAACGGTTCTTCGATAGAGCCGAACATCATCCCAACCCTCTGGTGGTAAGCGCAGCAAATTACCAACCCGACACAAACGCGAACGTCAACAAGCGTCGCCCGCGAAACGTCCTCATCGACCCGGTCGAGGAAGGGGACTTAGATACGCCGGACCCACCGCCGGGGGTCCCGCCGGATAACACTACCACAGCTAGTGTAACAACAAACACAATAGTTCGCCCTCGCCTCCGAGCACGGCGAGACCAACACAACGCGTACACAAGGTACACCCGCGTTCCGGGGCGGTTCTCACCGCTCCCAGCCACCGATTAGCTAATTGCACAGTCGACGGCCATCGGGGTGTCGGTCCGCACCGCAACTTCGATGGCCCTTAGATCCGCCGGGAACCCCGGCGGTGGGTCCGACGTATCTAAGTCCCCTTCCTCGACCGGGTCGATGAGGACGTTTCGCGGGCGACGCTTGTTGACGTTCGCGTTTGTGTCGGCTTGGTAATTTGCTGCGCTTACCGCCAGAGGGTTGGGATTATGTTCGGCTCTATCGAAGAACCGTTTGGTCAGGTCTTTAAAATATTCGCGAATCGTCGGGAGTCTGCAATCGCTGTGCAGGTCGACGTTGCGTTGATACCACTGCGCACCGGTTGCGCGGCAGATGAACTTATTTTGTACTATTTGCAACTTGTACAAGCGAGTAGGGTGCGTGTGGGCGAAGGTCATGTATGCGTAGGACATAATAGGTCGTACGGAGGTCTTATATAATAATAATTTGTGCCTTAAGGGCATTTTACTTTTAGAGTTTGTTAAATTGTGTAGCCGGCCGGAGACGAACGCGGCTCTATTGCGAACGTTATCAATGTGCGTATTAAATGACATACGCGAGTCGAAAGTGACTCCTAAGTATTTGACCTTTTTCTCCCAGGGGAGCGGTTGACCATAAAGGGATATTTGCCCCAACTTTCTGCATTGACGAGGGCCATTACAAAGATGTGACGGGTAAGTACTTCATGTGAAGTGAATCGCCACACTCTTTTCGGGATTTATTTCTATTCTCCATTTGCGGAACCAATCGCCGAGGCGGTCGGCGGCGCTTTGGAATCGAGTGGTTAGTTGACTAACGTTGCGATCTGAATAAAAGAGCGCCGTGTCATCCGCGAAAAGCGCGAGATTGACGTGGGGGTCTTTAGGTATATCGCTCGTGTAGAGCGTAAAGAGCAAAGGGGAGAGGCAGGAGCCTTGTGGTACGCCGGCCGTGAGGCTGCGGCTTATGGAGAGGGTGCCTTCAACTCGATATCGAAAAGAGCGGTTCGACAGGAAGGCCCGGATGGTGTGTACGAGCCTATCTGGCACTTTGAGTGTGTACAGCATGTAAAGCAAGCCGTTGTGCCAGACCTTGTCGAAAGCTTTTGCGACATCGAAGAAAAGAGCCCCTGTACTAATATGTTTAGGGTGATTTAGGCCTTTTAGGATATGTTCCGTTAGGCGGAATAGTTGATCGGGACAGGAATGTCTTGCTCGAAAGCCGAATTGTTCCGCCGGCAGAAGGCCGTTGGAAAACACGTGCTCTTTGAGCCTCTTTAATAAAAGCCGACCGTAGAGCTTCCCCAGGCAACTGAGTAGGATGATGGGACGATAACTAGAGGGCTGGTTGGCTGGTTTATTCGGCTTGCGAATGCCGATAACCGTAGCTTCTTTCCAGTCGTCCGGAAGGGAGCAACTGGAGAGAAGGGTGTTGAAAATGGTCGCCAGTAAACAAATAAGCGGCCCAGGGAGATCTTTGAGAATTTTATTACTTATTATTATCTGGGCCCGGGGCGGATTTCGGTTTTAAATTTTTAATAATATCTTGGACCTCTTCGGGGGTCACTGAATTTAAAGGTTCGCCTTCCGGTGGAAGCGCAGCCCTAGTCTCGATTACGCGGTCCACCTCCGTTAGGTGGGCTGTATCGGTGTGTTCGCGCGATGGCGTACATTGCTGCTCTAGGTTGTCTGCAAGGCATTCGGCTTTTTCGGAGTCATCTAGGGCTACTGAAGCGCTATTAGGGCTAACTAACGGCGGTAGAGATTCGCGGGGGTCTGCTTTCAGACTGCGAGCCACCCGCCAGTAGGCGGTGTGCGATGGCTCGATGTCCTCTAGGAGTGTCCCACGTTGTATGTCGGTGTTCCGATACACGATCTTTGACTTCTAGCTGAAGGCGTCGAAGTAGGGTTCGCTTCGATTCCGATCGGTATCGGTCGAAAGCGCGTTTGGCTACTTTTTTTGCCTAATTAGCAGTCGCAGGTCGGGCGGAAAGTTAAACCGTCGGTCGCCCAACAGTTTCACCGTCCGATTTCAGATTCATATCACAGGATGGGCCTGTGATCTGAATCTAGTTCATGGATTGTCTCGACTCGATGTCGAGCGAGACCTCCTTGTATAACATGATATCTAGGATACTCGGTGTCGCGTGTTGGTAGTTGTCCACCGTTGGATACCTAGTGGGTGTCGCAGGAGCTATCAAGCTAAAGTTTAAATTATCGGATAAGCTAAAGGGATACTATCCGTTGTTATTTGGGATGCTGTGGATGTCCCATGAGCCGTGTTTGCAGTTTAGATCTCCTGCAATGGAAGGGTCTAAATTGAGTAGCGTAACTAGGTCAATTTTTAATAAGGTTTTGTTCCCCGAGAAGTAGGCTGAGACTAGTATAAGCGGCCTATGGCCGGTGAGCGCTAACCTACATCTCCATGGCTTAGCTCTGGAATGTCGAGCGGGCTACAGTGCAAGGACCGTCTATAGCAAACCGTCTGGGAGGCACTTTGCCTCCCAGACGGTTTGCTAACCGGTCATGGCGGACTATGTTGTAGTTTGGAATCTATGGAATCGCGAACACTAGGTTTTAAGAAGTTCTCTTGCACTAGAAAAATATCTACATTATAATCGCGAAGGAAATCTGTGATTTCGTCCCTTTGACCCTTAATGCCGTTTGCGTTGAAATACGAAACAACCAGAACCCGGAGTTTTGTTCTACCTACGTTTGTACTTCTCATGAAAGATTTTTATGAGTTCTAACTAACGACGCCGCGGAGCGTGGACTATTAAGTTTATGGTTGGCTTGTAAATGCCCAGAGCGCTTCTACAAGCATTTTATGTTCGCTAATGGCTTTAAATGCCAGATGTGGCGGCCGCTATATTAGCGGACAATACACCGAGTTCTTGTCTATTAATGCGGTCTTTATTATACGCGCGATCATTCATAACTAACACTGAACGACTACCGCATTGTCAACAAGTTGCTTTCTAAGGAATGAAATGGCAATTTTTTGAAAAAAAAAAAGCTTTTTTTTATTTCAATAAACGAATAAAACGATTATACCTGAACCTCACACATGTGTTGAAAAACCCTGTATAAAGATAATAAAAAAAAACACATGTGCGTGAATTCTTTTATGGGACACCTGTTACGTTTTTTACTACAAAATCTCAGAAAACGTTCACAATGTATTTTTAAATTAAAAAAAATGTAAACGAACGTTTGTGTGTTAAAAGTTATTATGATATTAGTTATTATTTAGATGATAACACACCCTGGAAGAGAATTGATCGCTCCGGGCTCTTTCAAGTTGACTTTTAATACATTTGTAAACATTTCTTTATATGATAAACAATGGTATAAAAAGAAGAAGAAAGTCCCGCTGTTTCTTTCGCCGGTTCTTCTCAGGTCAGTGGCTTTTCTTTCCGAACCGGTGGTAGCGTTTTGACAATCAATAAGAAAGTGTAATGCTTCTATATTGAATAAAGGTATTTGATTTGATTTGATACAGGACTCGGTAATCTAAAATAATGTAATGACGGGAAGGGACATAATGTTATAAAAAATATTGTAAATAAAAACCCTTTATTAACACCATTAAAACCATTGGAAAATAGTTATATTCAATATAAAATTGTATTATTTATTTATAAAGAAATGAAGTACATTGTTCTACGACAGACAAGAAAACACAACTTATTTTATCAACAGATTAAAGAAAGAAATGTACAGTAATACTTTTTTTTGTAAATGCAATAATTCTGTGAGTGTATAATGAAAATGACATTGATGAAGATAAAACTTTAAGGTTCAATCAAAGTTCAGTATTTTCATATTAATATGACACTTAAATTTAAGTAAGCACATTTAATGCATTTACATCTTTACAACATATAGACTTTATCGTTAAATACCACAATCGTTTTATTTTTCTTTTTTGGGAAAATAAATAGAAATTACTTTTGGTACACAGTGTACTTTTTGAAAATTGGTATGCGTCAAACGCGTTTTATTGGCCAGTGTTACTGGAACTTATCTTTAGTCATGTCATATCACATTTGACAAACAAAAAAATTATAGCGGGAAATTAATCGTAATACATACTTGAAATCACTTACAATTTTTTAATTAATTATGTCTGTTTTCTCGTTGATTTCAATACTATTGTCAAATAACATTCATTTGTACACATAAAATATATGCTTTTTTTAAGTACTCAATTTGTCTTCAAAATTTATAAATTTTTAAATGTAGTAAAAAGTCTAAAGTAGTAAAAATCACTTACAACCATAATATAATAAATATAGGCATGAACATATAATTAACTATTTGTTCACTTTCAAAATTCATTAAAAAAAGATTTTTTTTTCTATTTAGTTTCTCTTTCGTGTCAAAATTTTCATAATGAACCATTACATAATGAACAAAACAAATACCAAATATGATCATAATCTGGCTTTTTCATCCAATCCATTCAATCCATACAATAAAAAATTGGAAATGTATGGGGCCATCCTCTCAGGATGCACTACATGAATATCATGGTGCCCCATAACTATCTTAACTCTACAATTACCAGCTGGAAACAACTTCTCGTCCAGCAAAAACTTAGAATGTTTATAAGAGCCGTTGTCTAGAGACTCTTTTGCGACTATCGTAAGTGTTGGCGTTTCAATGCTTGTATACAGCTCTTTCAATAAAACAGTTGACATTGGATAGTGAACCAATATTTTAAGACGCTGGTCGAACATATACCTGAAATGAGAAAGAACATGATTAATTGAATTGAAAACCAGTTACCGGCTGCATTCAAGAAATAAATACACCATAAAAATAATTATTCTCTTTCTGAATTTTTGTACAATATTATAGGATTTATTAGGTTTTTCTTTTCCTATGAAATTGCCGTTCTTCAGTACTGGCCATTTCAAACAAAAAGTTTTCATTTGGCACTGAACTCTAAATTCAAATTGATTTTGTTTTTAAAAATGAAATTCTTTTTACAAAGTCGGTGTTTGGTTTGTTGATTATTTTTGTATTTTCATTACATTTGAACGATTTTCGTCATAATGGATACTTTAAAAATTTGTGTAATTATATGTATATATGAGTTACACTAGTGACACCAACGCGGCACATAACATCAACAATGTCTACAGAGATAAATTTATAACTGAACGCAAAACCCGTTTTTGCCCTTTTCCGTTTTGGAAATTTTGTGTTTAAAAATGAGCCTCGTGGTCAACAACGTTTTACGGTGGTAGGGCCATGCAACAGCCTCGGCTGTTGCACTAGTAGGCAGGCTCGTCTGGGTAAGTACCACGAGCTCACAGAAGAACGGCGTAAAGCGGAAGTATGATACTTTCCGCGTTTCGTCTGGTGAGTGAGGAGCCCAATTTTCAAAAGGTTGTCAACACATCTGCAACCCTCGGGTGTAGCAGATATCCATCGGCGGCAGTATTCACTTAAAATCAGGTGAACCGTCTGCTCGCCTGGCAACTTTTCACATAAAAAAAAACAATGATGAATTAAAGGCGAATGATATGATATGAATGAATGAGGCTGATGATACTCAATCTACAGCCGAGCTAGCAGCAACTATTGAAGTTAGCATCAAAACAATATTGATCCATTCGCGAAAAATTGGCAAAGGTAAAAAGCTTGATAGATGCGTGACCCATGAACTTAACGATCGCCAGCGCAACGCACGGAAGCGCTAATAAGCGTCGCCTCGCGCTGCTCAACCAGCACGGAAAGAGTAAATTTTGACCAAATTAGTACATGCGACGAAAAATTTATTATGATCGATAATCAAAAGCGCTCAGCAAATTGGTTAGTAGCTAGTTCAGCAGTGGTTAAAGCAATGCCCTAAATTATTTATTCAAAGTAAGATTTGTTCAAACCGTTATTCGACGACATAAAAATATATAAATACTAAAATAAGGTATTTGCCTGTATTCAACAGAATAAATTTTAATTAAGTAAAGTACCTAAATAAACCGTATAAGTAAGAATAGTATAAATGTATAAATAAAAGATAATGAGCTATACAGCCTGTCGTTACCACCGCGACAATAAATGAACACGCATATAGAGGATAACTTTTTAAAATTTTATTAAACATTTACATTCTTTAGACATCAATATTTACCGAGTTATTAAATTTTCCAAAACAAACAATTTTAGAACACCCTTACCTATAAAATGTAACGTAAAGTTCGTTTGTAAAGGTCACAAAGCATATGAATGGGTTGAATGAATTTAAAAGAGACAAAACATACTGTTAGAAGGAGAGGCTTATAATGTGACGGTGTGGCGCGAGTTGTATAGGATGTTACAAATTTTGTTTCTTTTTTACTTAATTAGTTTGTTTGAAACATATTTTTTTTAATTATGGATTTTGTTTAGCGTTAATATTTTTTTATGCTTATTGGCAAGTAGCGTTAGACGTGTGTTCATTTATTGTCGCGATGGTAACGACACGCTGTATAATACTTAATAAGTCCGTCCCCAACGGGCTTTGTCCATCTCTCAATGGTCGCTGAGGCTGTCTCCTTCGTGAGGCTTCTATTTGTAACAAGTTTCTCTATGGCCTGTAACATAAGAAAAAGCAGTTAACGTTTTTGGTAATTGCAATACCGCAGTTTGTTAATAATAGAATCGTAAGCCTACAATAAATTTTATATGTACATCATAATGTTGAATAGTTTATGCTGTATAAAATTTATGGAAAATATGGCAGCTTAGCTAAGTCTAAGACTGTCGCCTTGCTTGATTGAACTATTTTTTTTAAACATTGCCTTACTTTAGGATAACATTATCCTGTGTGTTGATTATCTTTGTATTTTCATTACATTTGAACGATTTACACGTGGACAAACATCCAGATGCGAAACAACAATCTGTGGGTCACACAAATAGTTGCCTCGTGTGGGAATCGAACCCAAGACCCTTGACGCCGATTCAACGCCATTCACATTTGTAATATTAGTAGGAATAATAATGCTCTCACTAACCTCATCCTTTTTGTATGTTGGGCCGAGCCCCTTCGCTATATCATACTTGTCATACTTATTGACGTATTCGGAGAAAGTTTTCTGAAACCTGCAATTAATGTTTTGACATTTGAAAAAAGAATAGAATTATAGAAAAAAACCTACAGTTTCTTGCTGATTATTATCATCTGCACAGATCTAATTAAGTGAACCGATGGTAATTATTACAATCATAAGAACTTGGAACAAGCCTTAATTGCTCTAATTGAATAGAGAGGTATATGTTGTAGAATACATCCATGCAAAATAACATTTTGAAATGGACATTTATATATTGATTTCTTGTTTTACGCGAATACTATATATGGTTAAATTATATGGATTTGATTAAAATTTATTTTGATTTTAAATTACCAATGTTTGAACCTTTTACTGTGTTCATGGTCTATCTGTCACATGACAATTTTGAAACAAACATGGACATATATAACAACATTCAAAAATATATGTTTGCATATCTAAAATATTCATTCACAATGTAAATTATAAAAAGTTAGAAGAAATTCTATTAATATTGTTATGTGATGATGTCATCTGTCTTCGATGAACAAATACATATATGAGGCTCTCTAGGATAATTGATAAATCCTGCTTGTCCTTATGTTGCTTCTTCATTATGTTAAATACGTTCGGAATGATCAATATTTAGAATTATGTGAGAAGTTGAGATGACACAATGTTAAATCACGTAATGTTAATTGAATATTTATTACGGAAATCTTCAAAAACAGAGAGGTTGCAAACGTTTTGCCTACCTTCTAACCACTAGACCGCGATTACCTCATTCACTAGACTAAATGCCAAAGCATACCACTTTACTCCACGCTGATCTTTTAGCTGTGAGGCTTTTGCACTTCCCCGGACAATCCTCCATTTGTGCCTTAACACAGGAAATGTTATTAGGTACGGTAAATATTATTAGGTTTCAAAAACCTAGGCAGGTTATTGTTCCTACACAGGGTTTATTCTAAAATTGTCATTGAATTTATTTATTTATTAAGGTACATTTGTTAGTGCTGTTGCATGACATACACTTAAGTTTACAGGCTTTGTTCTTATATTTGTGCCTATTATAGGTATACACAACATTTACAATCTAAATAAAGGTGAACCAAAAATGAAATTTAAAGTAGAAGAATTAGATATATGTATATTTTTAATAAATTTGTATAAAAAGCCAAAAAAAGGAGAGAAAAAAAAGGAGTCAATTTTAAATTTATATGCGCTTAAATTCAAAAGAGATCGTAATTTCGTTTTAAAAACATTTTTCTACAAATTTTAATTAATTTAACGAATCATTAAAAATATCCAACTTTGACTTGGTTACAAAAGTGTGATTGTAACTACTTAAAATTATTGAATGTGGTTGAATTGAAAATAAATTATGTTTGGCATTTTAAATATAGATAATTACCATAAAGTGAAAGCTTTAGGAGGTATTGTCATAACTTGATTGATTGGGTCTATTTCGATTAACTTCGACAGCTTGCCTGGAAATGCGAGCGCGTACATTTTGCCTGGAAACAATCAATGCACATCGATAAATGAAAATTATTTTATGGATTTGATCATATCTTGGCCCACTATCATATATGATATCTGGTGAAGCACCAGCTCTGCCGCCTTCTCACACAAAGAAAATATAATTTTGACTTAAACTCTGACCGTTTGAACAATACACTATCAATAGTGATTTATAGCACTTTACTTTGACTCATATTTTTTTTTCTTTCAGTCCTATGTCCTGGACTATGAAAGCTTCATCAAACACAGTATCGATCGTGAGAAAGCCAGATCCCACAAGCTAGATACGGCCTTCAGCGTTGGGTAGGGCCATGTATGCCTTATCTATGTGATTGTTTATTTAAAGTGTTTAAACATTTTTAAATTAACATAATTAAAAAAAATATTTGGCACTGCACTGGTTTGTTAAAAAAGGTGTTTCATATACAATCCGTGTCATGAGAGTTCCATGACCATTGCAAAGTAGGGACACCAATAGAACCCAAATTTCAAAACAATTTAAGTATAATTTTCTCTCCTTTCACAATGGAATACGCCATCTGTGTTGTCAACCCTCGCAGTATTAAGATCTAGAATAGTCTCTAGAGCGTGATTCAACTCAATGTTGTGGGTTCCAATTCCAGCATAATGGCTGTATAATATACTATTCTTCTGCTGTTGTACAAATGGGCAGACTTGTCTGGGGATGTACCAAGACATCACAGAAGAACGGTCTGAAGTGGAATTGTTATACTTCTTTCATGTGGTGAGTTAGGTAATCGGAGCCTACTTTATAGAAAGGCGGTAACGCATTTGTAACCATATAGATGTTGTAAATGACCATGGGCAGCTGTTATCAATTAACACTAGCTTGCTTGCCATCTTCTTACATAAAATAAAGAACCTATCACGTACCTAAGGTGCTTCCGAAAGAGTGTGCCAAGTAAATGAACTTCTCCCATCTAAAATGCCTTGCAACAACCACAATAGAGTACATCATATCGTACGAGCTGATGATCATTCCGGGAGGGAAGTGGTCAGATTTCCCATTTCCGGGCAACTCCATGCCTGCAAAGCCAAATCAGAATCTGGAAATCTATTGCTGTAATGTTTTTATGATGGGAAGGGTGCGAATGAGCAGGCAAGCCACACAATGTTAAATGATTATCTATATATTTAACATACAATATTAATGCTATTATTAAAACCTACAAACAGAATTAAACACCACTTATGAGAGACAATTAGTTTTGATTCTTTAAGACTTGATACAAAAGAGTAAAAAGTTGTGGCTTTTACCCACAGTAGTTAATATTCATCTTTGAATTAATTACTTTAATTGGTGATGAAAGCCCATTGTACTCAGAATTATAATGGGTGCCCTTGAATTCTAAATAAGTTTTATTCTTCTATCCATTTTCTTTTACATATTAAAATTTCTGTTACAATAAAAAAATTTAAAATTATCACAATTGTAGAAATTGAGTCGCTTTTTAAGAGTTAACTGATAAAGATAACAAAATCTTCGATAAATGGTGATAATGATAAATACTTTTAATAATATGATGGTTGTGCACATTTTACATTTGACAGTAAATCTATACAAATAAATAAAATTGGAGTGTCTGTTTGTAATATTAAAATAACCACTTTTTACTAAATGCATATGGATGTGTATTGTATACATGGTACTTATACCAAAATAACATTTTTTACAATTTTGTCTGTCTGTCTGTCTGTTTGTCCCGGCTAATCTCTGAACCGGCTGGACTGAATTGGACGGGATTATCACTGGCAGATAGCTGTTGTAATAAGGAATAACTTGGCTACTTTTATTTTAGTAAATCTAAAACTTTCACTTAAAACTCCACGTGGACGAAGTCACGGGCACAGCTAGTCATATAATAATTATTCATTGTTCTAAATAATTCTAAATATAGTATTGGGCAAATACAGAGAACATCCTTGATTAGTATGTATCATCAATCAATGATATTTTGAATGAAGGACATATCTTGTAATCTTTGCATAATTGTTTTTATAAACTTAGTCTTGTATCAGATTCGCGAATATCTGACGGTGGACTTGCGCATCAGGTTATGTGAAACACTTATTTTATCTAAACTATTTAACACTGAAACATTTTTCGGCGAATATGCATACAGACATGCAAGGATGCAAAAGATAATCCAAAGGAAATAGAATGCCCGCACACGGTTTTATTTTCCCATTCCAAGGGCGCTCACATGTAACACCTTTTTAAACAGTCACAACCTGTTGAAAATGTCCTCTTGTAGAAAGCTTCAACTTGCCTTGTTGCTTTTTGGAGTTATAAAAACTGTAGACTTCCTTTTAAGGGTTTACCCCCCCGTTAAGGAGAAAGTAGCGGAGCCCCCCCCTCTTTTCAAGTTCTTTTTAATTTTTAATTTCGAATTATGGTGTTTTATTGTGTTATTCTTGTCAAAACAGATTAATATAACAGGTCAGTTTTTCAATATGTTTTTCTCAAAAATTACGCCTCACTGCACTGTAAACTTTGCGTGTGTGCTTATAATAATAAAACTTTTCTGTCCAAAAAAATATCAAACCCCCAACTCAATGGACGTCAATGGAAAACTGAGCCAATGTCTTTAAATCAGTTTTATTTAAGTTTAGTAGTTGCATAAATACAATAAATCATTATACTGACCTACATAATAGAAGTTCTTCGGCAACAGGGCAATGAGGGGCCTAAAACATGCTGCAGAATCAATATTTCCATGGCAAACTAAAACTGGTGGATCTCTGCAGTCTCCCCATGCCACAACTGTGAAAAACATAAGTAAGTGTCACCATTGTTGTTATAGCATTTCAAAGTCTTGTAATACTCTTTATTATATGTAATACTCTTGTAATACTCTTTTGTATATGTAACTCCTTTGTTACATAAAAATATTTAAAAAATTGTAATGTATTTATAGTACTATACAGCGTGTCGTTACAACCGCGACAATAAAATAAACACACGTCTAACGCTACTTGCCAATAATAATAAAAAAATATTTGGTGTTTTGGTATATAACAAAATGTTTTTATGTCATTACTTAATAAATCATTAGATATTAAGTTTCCATTTACAACAGAATGGACGAACTTGTACTTGACCTGACCTAGTACATTTCGACATGAGTAATAAAAAGTCTAACAAGGTTTTGGAATTGGGTTTTTATTACCTTGTTTTTGAATGGAAACATACTCACTGCATATTCTTCCCCATGGAGCTTGTATAAACCATTCATTTTCAAATAAAACCATTTTCTTCATATTTCAGATCAATTAAACTTGTAATGCGGTAAATCCATTTGAAAATCCACTTGTAAACTTTATTTACGCGTTACATCATTTTCACCGTAATTAGATCACATTCAAACTTTACCTTATTTGCTAAATTTAACATTTTTATTCTTAAAAAACATACTAAAAATTACTGTTCACCAAAAATATCTTTTTTCATTTGAATTTCAACGAAGTCAGAGGCAAAGAGAATGTAATCACTACGTTTCAGAGACGGGACTTCCATACGAGCCAAAAATATCAGTTTACGCGGCACTCCAATACCAACCATACCACCAGCGTGACCAGATTTTATTTGACGAATCTACTGCTTGTTAAAAACTACTGAATTCTACCAAAAGAGAACGAGAAAACACTAAAATCATAAATCTAGTATATTTTTTGCTGTCGTGTAACCTATAAACATGATTTTTCTTGATTAAACGATAAAGTAATAAAAATAACAAAGAAACCAATGTTTTTTTTTTTTAAGTTAAATTCTAAATAAAAATATAATTAAAAAAATAAAATTAAACCTAAAGTTAAAATCTTTCGCCTTTATGTTGGGTAACATTGTCATAAAGCTGTTTTGAGTCCATATGATCATACTTCTGTCACGATCAAATCTCCTACATCCTCCTTCCAACTGACCCCTCGTAACCCTTCTTTTCCATGCATTATTGCATGCAACATTGTTATTATTACATCGATATCGATCTTAATTTCTAATCCTATTAATATCGGAAAATAATCTTTCTACTTTGGCGTTTGCCAAAGATAGTATCGTCATTTGCTTCACAAATCGGAACAAATTGCCATACTTTGGTTTGCTATTAACATCACAGATTTGGCTGACATCACTACAAAATGTATCCACCAAAAACTTCAGACATATAACTAGCAGTTGAGAATGAATGTTTTTTTTAACATAATACAGGTTCACACTACTGCATAAGTCGAAAGTATTAAAAAAGTCAAGTAAAAAAAGTCTTAACAAGAATAATTACATTCCACATATTAACGTTAGTAACTTGCATACCTGAGAAATGCCGGAATATCCTTTCATATTTTTTATATGCTTTGATGTAGTCATGTGTTCCTTCAACGACGCCAATCTACTTAGTACTTCACAGTTGCATGCTTTACAATGAGCACTCGTAGTGTTTACCTTAGATTTACATAACCAACTTTTAAATGGGGGATATTGCTCTCATTCATCGCGATATCCTTGTGTATATTTAAGTTTCATTTAAAACTCGATTATAAAAATTCTCAATAAAGGAATTCCGACTAGTCTATCACACTATGCTCACGGCACGAATCAAACGACCAACAGAATGAAATTTAAATAGTAACAATCCATTCTATGAAAGGAGGAATACCCCGCATTTATCCGATAAGCCAAAAAAGTATTATAATAACTGATAAGCGTGAATTCTACTAAAATATACCAAATAATTTTTACGTACTAAATTCTGTCGCCAGTACCTCAAAATCTACCAAAAAAGTAGAAATCTACTAAATCTGGTCACGCTGCATACCACAAAGATGTCAAACAACAAGAGTACCAACGTAACGCGCCAAATAGTGCTTAACGAAGCTAGCTTAGCTTCTTATCGATATCGATAAATGATACTAGGTAGAAATCGAGGTTTCCACTTAATATTTTTTTATTAATTTTAGTAAGTAAGTATCGAGTCCGTATTTGTCCATTGTTGATGAGGTATATTTGGTAGAAGATTGGACTTGAATACGGACCCGAAATAAGATAAAAAACGGTTTCTGTTAATTAAAATAAAATTTTATTACTGAAATGAAATTTGTTTCTTGATTCTTCAGTCAACAGCTGTTGTCCTACTGTACATGAGTCTGGAAATAATTGAAACATAAAAATAGAATCAAAATCCAAAAATTATTTTAGTTTTCTTGCATACTCAGCGCACGAAATTAATTATATGACGTATCAATATTACAGAGATTGTGTTTCAAAATCCTGAAAAATTCACCTATTCCCAACCTTGCTCATTTATGCAGGCACACCATTGAAATATGTAAAACTTTGTGCCCTAATCTTTCTCGCAACATTTTATTTCTTATTTTTTTTTTCAATGATAAACATTAACGTAGTTATCGATATGTGGATATTACAGTTGCAGTACATCACTAGCACACAATTTAAATGAGATAATTTAGTTAATTTTATTTGTTCTTAGCCTGCTCTACTTACATATGGCTGCAAAGTATCATATTTAAGTGCTTACATGGCCTTCATCTAAGGGAAATCTCGCCATAAACATCCTTTTTTCAAGATTCGAATGACTTGCTCGATTTTCACCAATTTCACAGGTAATAAATAGTCTTTTAGCCATTTTGAATTAAAAGCATATTTTTTTTTTTTCAAAAGCATATATTATTATTTCAGTATATATGTCTTATCTATGATTAAAAGTACAACTCTGATCACCTGTCACTACTTTTCGTGAGAAAGTTTACTCTAAACAATTTAAATTTACAATAAAATATGCATTTACATTCAAAATAAGCGATGCGAAATTAAGTTTTGACAAACAACATGGCACTTCTTGTATTGCATGAAAGAGAAACCGCATTGAGGGAGAGTGATAGCAATGTTCGCCATTATTTGCCGCGTAAAGTCCATAAAAAAATTTTTTGTTCCTAGTTTCGCCAGACTGGTCAGAGGTACAAAACGATATAATTATAGACACTAGGGCGACTAGGGACGTAGAAAAAATATAGATATATCGATATTTTGATCTCCGGCCTTAAAACAAAATTCCAGCCTGTTCAACTAGACTTTGGAAGCAAAGGCGGCTGTGAAGCGGCTGTACATTCCGTTCGAACTTCTTTAAATACTAGTGATTTGGATGTATTTCTGAAGGTTGACCTAAGGAATGCTTTTAACTCCATTGATAGAACGACTCTGCTGAACGAAGTGGCTAACCATACACCAGAAATATATCACTATGTTTGGCAATGTTACAGTGAAAAGAGTAATTTATTTTATGAAGACCATATTATCGATTCTGCTGTCGGCGTTCAGCAGGGAGATCTGCTAGGACCATTATTTAGTTTGGCAATTCATCCAATTATTTCAAAATTGAAATCTAAACTTAATGTCTGGTACGTAGACGATGGTACGCTGGGAGGTAAAGTTAACGATGTGCAAAGTGATCTTATCGAAATTATTAAACAATTTAAAAATATTGGTCTCATTTTAAATAATTCCAAATGCGAAACTTTTCTTTTCCGAAAAGATTTCTTTTTCCGACAAAATCATTTTGACCCAAAATTTTAGCTCTATCATACTGGGAATTAACGTAGTCCGTTCAAATTCACTTGACCTCTTAGGTGCTCCTTTGTTGATACCAAGTTTGGAACCTCATTTAAAATGAAAGTTAAATCAATTTTTAGGTCATGTCAATAAATTGTTTTTACTAAAATCGCATATTGCGCTTAGTATTTTGCGACATTGTATTCTTGTACTTAAATTTACGTACCTTCTTCGCTCGAGTCCAGTTTGGAAATGCGGTGACTTTTTGAACGAAATTGATTTCCATCTTAAACCAGCTCTAGAAAAAATTCTAAATTTATCTCTTAATGAATTAAGCTGGACTCAAGCTACGCTGCCAATTCGTTTTAGTGGTATCGGTGTAAGGAAAATTTCTAGTGCCGCTCTACCTGCCTTCCTTGCTTCCGTGCATAGCGTAAATAATTTATGTAATAACATCCTTAATCACGATTCAGAACTTTCCTATGCAGAGGAGGCAAGGATGTCTTGGCTGTCTATCTGCCCCAACGAAAATATCCCACTGGAAGTAAACCTACAAAAACAGTGGGATGTTCCTTTGGTGCGGAGAGTACAGAGAGATACGTTTCAATCTTTAGAAAGTAATTTAGAGCGTGCCCGTTTCCTAGGCGGCTCATCTAAAGAATCGAGTTATTGGCTTCACGCTTTACCATCAAGTAACTTGGGCACATTACTTGACGATGAAAGCTTACGCATTGCTGTAGGAATCCGTCTGGGGGCACCGATTTGTCAACCACACCAATGCCCTTGTGGTGTCAGTGTAGACAAATTTGGTCTCCACGGGCTTTCTTGTCAAAAAAAGATCTGACCGTTTTTCCCGCCACGGTTCCCAGAACGACATCATCCGTAGGGCTCTTGTTTCATCAATGTTCCATCTATGTTAGAGCCCTGTGGCATTTTTCGCGACGATGGTAAGAAACCCGACGATTTAACATTGATCCCTTGGGAGAGAAGCAAAGCGCTTGTTTGGGACGCCACTTGTGTAGACACTTTGGCTGCCTCTCATCTAAGGGGTACTTCGGTCAGGGCCGGGGCGGCATCGGAGGCAGCTGAAGTAAGTAAATGGCGCAAATATGAGTCTTTATGTTTAGATTATGTATTTGTGCCATTTGCTGTTGAAACATTAGGTCCATGGGGTCTATATTTTGGATCAATATTTTTTAAAAGTTTATGTCCTAGGCTTAACGCCGCGGCTGGTGACAAGAGAGCTGGTTCTTTACTCGCTCAAAGGTTAAGCATAACTATTCAGCGAGGAAATGCAGCTAGCGTTCTTGGCACCATGCCGCGTGGATTAGGTTTATTAGATATGTAATTTTAGATAGATAGATAGATAATGTAAATATTAGATCAACACCATTGCATTAAAAACTGCCGAAACTGCCGGAAATGTTTAGATGAGCTATTCTAGGTTAAAACGAGTATCTGCTACGCCTGTCACTGTTACTTAAAAGTAACAGTGACAAATATCTGTTATAAAATAACAGCCAGTTATTTCATACTATGTTGTGACAATTTGTGTAACCGTTGCCATATTAACAGGCTAACAGCTGTTACAGTTTTTACTCATGGTAACGTCGGTACTTCTATTTCTAACAAAGATATAAGACCGATGCAAGAAAAGGAAAGAGGAACTGTTATATAATATATATTGGTAACAGGTACAGTCTGTTATCTTGAGATACCTGTTATATTTACCTACTACGATAAATACGCCTCACTCCTAGAAAAATTACTAACATAACTAACGTACACTAGTCTACTGCATGCTTGCTTGCTGCTACTCTATTACATGATGCATACGACGAAAGAGATGCCAACGTAGATCGTACGTTATCCCTATTATTAGAAAAACACGTGAAACTAGATTCAAACTAGTTAAAATTAGCGAGGTATTTTTAATTTATATAATTATTTATAAAAAGGGTAAGATGGGTATGGTCATCGAAAAACATCTTAAACTTGAATAATGTTTCGAACGATTTCCACAGCGGCGACAATCTTTTCTTAGTTTTTCTACAAATTTTAATGTTGAATAATGTTGTTGTTTTTTTATGTATATGCATCGCGACTGCCGCATTCACTGTAATCTTAACAAACGAAATTTTTATAGCAGACCTTAAACTTAGGTAATAAAAGCTATATTACAAACAAGTAACGTTGGGAAAGATGATGTTATTTGCATACTTATGTGATAACAGCTATAAATTAATTCATTCAGGTGATAAGGAATAATAATGCACGTCTGTCAAGTTACAAGTAGTATTCACAAGCACTACAAATACCTACATAAATTGTTATCATCAAATATATAAATTGAATAACGTTACGTGTTCATGTTGTACAAAAAATATGCAAATTAGTTAAATTAGTGGCAAGTTACTGCTAGCATGAGCAAAGAGCACGTAATACAATATGAATGAGCATGAGGCCGAAACATGAAATTGTCAGGAGTGTTCAGTTACTGCACAAGGTAAGTCTAATCTATGGTTAACTATTTACTAAAATATAAGAAGTAAACGTTATTCTATAGGTAACTCTATGAAAATACCATCCGATTAATTGAGGGAAAAGCAAGCGTATTTTTTTTTTATCTGTGAGCTTTTCGTAATGATAAGTGAGAAATAATAAATAAACGTAATGATAATGAGTATTTTCTTTCCTTTTTCGGGTTTTGCTTATTTTCTAAACAGTTAAAAAATAGTGCATTCTGCAAATTGCAAAATAGAATAGTTTCATTATATTTTGCAATTTCAAATCATGCGTTTACTTAAGTAAATATGATAATTGTATATAATATATATGAATGTTTATATTTATAGCCTTTGTTTCGTAATGATTGAAATTATTTTAGTTACTTCTGAATTTTGTTTAAATCTTTTAATAATAAATACATTACATAAATATTAATAATTAAAGTTTGAGTCACAGTGTTGGTTTTCAATGGTTAATATCTAATATTTCAATAGTTAAATTAACATTTCCATTGCAACACCGCATTTTAAAAATACTTAGTAGTATTATCCACTGAAATTATTATTCTAACCTCAAAACTATTTTCATTATTCTCTATCGCGAAAATTTTTTCTTGCTTGAAATTCATGTACCTATTTCTGTTTATATTTTTACAGAGCAATGAAATCGTTGAAGCAATCAGAAACGGCTGTAACTATTAAAGCGCCTTGGGGTAACCTAGCTGGTAAGAAATTTTTCCCTAAAAACTTCATTTACAATACATAGTGTTTATAGTTAATCAGTGTTACCTACTACTAGCATTCAGTTGTTGTCTATTAAAAATCATAGGTACCTACAGTCTGCTTGCGGAATTCTCTATTCAAAAAATAATTAAAAATAAAAAGTTAAATAAAACACAGTAGTGATGTCGCACAAAATCCTTTGCTCTTCCTCGATTCGGCTGCCTCGATTAGGGATGTACCACTGCCTCACAAAAGACCGACGTTAAGTAAAACTATTTTAAACTTATGCCTTTCGAATTAGTTAACAAAATACAGTATTAAAGATTTAGCTTCACTAGCTCTAACTAGCTTGTTTCTAACCTTCGCCAATAAAAGAAGTAATATTAGAAGTTACTTTCTCATTAACTCTTTTGTAACACACTTTTGGCAAGAGTTAATCATTCTCCGTAAGTAAAATTTTAGCAGTGATATTTGAGGTAGTCATTGTGGCTCGTTTCGCGTCCTAATTTGCCTTGAATAATTATGCAAACTAAAAAATCCCACATAAAACACGTTGAAATTTTTGTCGGTGTGGCAATAGGCTACTTAGCTTGGTGGTTTAAGCGTTTGCGTGAACAAATCTGGAAGATTCATGTCCTATTTTCGCAGCAGCGGCGAGAAACCTTTCGTCCTTTTTTCTACAAATTTTCTTATGTTTCTTTTAATTCTCTTAAGTGCAGAGATTAGCACTATAAAAATTAAAATTTTTATAAGACCTATAAGTTCAGTTTGCATAATTTTTAATTTTAAATTAATTTTTAATTTTTTTCGCAAAGTCCAACTATTTCCATACACTTAATTGGTAAGTCAACTTAGTACTGAAGACAACTCCACTAGTCTGTCGAAGTAAAAACGGTAAAAGCGTATGTAACAGATGTCATTTGTATAACATTGTTTCGATATTGTTGAGTCGTTTTACAATCGCCTTAACTATATTTGTATGCGTGTTATTTTTGTATGAATATCCAATTGTAATAGTAAACCAAGAAAATGGGAAAGTTGTTGTGTAAATTAATATTTTTTTTTTTCTATAAATATATAGGATTTTCGAAGTTTATTTGAATATTACTTACACTTAAAAATGGGCTACGTTTGTATGCGTATGTATAGAGATACTAAACTATCTTCTATACTCCTCTTGGCAACCCAACTAAAATAAGGAATATTAATACTGAGATGACCAATATAGTACATAAATTCTTTAGTTCCGTGTCCTGCTGAGTTTTCACTATAACGTAAAAATTATATAGGTATTAAATAAAAAAAATTAAGATATTTTAGCAAGAAAACACTGATGACAAATGGCTCATAATATATACAAGGAAGATTCAGAAGAATTTTATAAAATTTAATTTATGTAATTTAGACAAGTGGAAGAAAATTACTCATACAAAGTAATCTTCATTTTATTTTTTTATGTTGTTTTTGCAAGATTTTTTAAGAGAAGAAAAGATCAACGATATTTTATGCTAAAATAACATTCGGTACTTTGAATGTAATAATTAGGATTCTACAAATGGAGACATCTACTCTACAGTCTGTCTCAAAAAGTTACAACTTCGGAACGAGTCGATCCGTGGTTACATTGACTAACTGTGGTAGGCCACGCAGCAGTCTTCGCTGTTGCACGAACGGGCAGGTCCGTCCGGGGAAGTAGCACTTCTTAGAAGACTTGTGTCTACAACTTCTGCGTTTCGTTTGGTGAGTGAGGTAGCCGGGGCCCATTTTATTCACGTATCTGCAACCCTACACGCATTTGCAATGCAGTTGCAGATGGCAGCGGTTATCATTTAACATGAGGTGAACCGCCGGCTCGCCTGCCACCTTCTCACACACACAAAAAAAAACCGGCCAAGCGCGAATCGGACTCGCGCACGAAGGGTTCCGTACCATTATGTGTAAAAATGACCGAATGATGTCTGTTATATGAGAGCCCCGCTTAAATGTTTTTTTAGTCTGTAATTAGTATTCGTTGTTACAGCGGCAACAGAATAATATATCATCTGTGAAAATTTAAACTGTCTTACCGTCAAGGTTCTCTATATACAGCCTGGTGACAGACGGACAGACAGACAGACAGCGAAGTCTGAGTCTGAAGAAAAAGTATAGCGCAAACGTTCTTTACCAACTACGTAATTCGGCAGCATTAACATGGGGGGATCCCTCGAGGCCGCCGGTGCTCCTCTGCCCGGGAAGACTGCAGCCGTGCACGGTGTTCAAGCCGCTGATCTTCATGCTCCCGGACAGCTTCTTCTACGTGGCCCTGGATTTACCCGGGAACGGGCTATCGGACCCCTTACCTCCAGGAGTTCGGTATACCGTCATGGACATGGTGCCGTCAATACTGACGGTGGTTGACCACTACAACTGGGACAACTTCGCCTATATCGGACACTCGTTGGGAGCCGCCGTTGGTAAGAAAAAAAATTATTTATTTATTAATAAACTAGCTGTGCCCGCGACTTCGTCCGCGTGGAATTTGAAATAAATAAAATTTCTAAAATAAAAGTGGCCTAAGTTACTCCTTATTGCATCAGCTATCTGCCAGGGAATGTCCCGTCAAAATCGGTTTAGCCATTTCGGGGAATAGCCGGAACAAACAGACAGCCTGTCAAAAATTGTACAAAAATGTTATTTAGCTATATGTACCGTGTATTCATCCATATGCGTATAGGAAAGGATACTCCAATTTCATTTATCTATTTGTACAGATTAATGTTTAAATTTAACGGTGGTGGGACCACGCAACAGTATTCGCTGTTGTACGAATGGGCCGGTCAGTCCGGGTTAGTACCACGACCTCACAAAAGGCGTAAAGTAGAAGTGTTGCACTTCTGCGTTTTGTCTGGTGAGTGAGGAAGGTCTTTAGGAATTAAGGTTTCTTTCCAAAGCGAGTTGGCAGTAGACGCTTTTGGTAATGCCCGTCTTGTCTTCAATAACTTTTGTTCTGCATTATCTCGCCCGCACACTGACAGTGATAGCTCAGTGTCCGGGCGCTCGCCTTTAAATCAATATACTCGAGCTACCTGAGGACGATCCCCGGTGCCAGCACCGATGAAATTGTTCAGTTCAAGTGCTGAATTATTACGTCCTCAGCGGTGAAGGAAAACATCGTGAGGAAACCTGCATGTTTTCTAAAAAATAACAAAAAAAAGTATTTCGAAGATATGTGAAGTCCGCCAATCCGCAGTAGGGTCGCGTGGTGGACGTGCCTTTGCCCAGTAGTGGGACACGTATAGGGGCTGTTACTTTACTGTAATCTCTTTTTCATGTGACCAATAAAGTGGTAGTGCCATACAGCCTCACAAGTAGCCGGGCCCAATTTTTGAATGGTTGCCTGTAACCCGGCAAGCGTTGTAAATGCCCGTGAGCAGCGGTAATTACTTAACATCAGGTGAACCGCATGCTCGTTTGCCGACTTTGCAAAAAAAAAAAAACATCCTTCCTTGGCACTCTCTCGTAGGGAAGTTCTTCAACATCGCTTATCCCGAGCGCATCTCTAAGATGGTTGAGCTGGACCCCGTGCCGGCGTACTTCACGAGCGGCGTGACCACTATAGCCGATTGGTACCACACGTACTACGGCAACTACTACAAGGAGGACAACTACAGGAAGCACAACTCCGGGCCAGAGACAGCGCCGAAATACACACTGGAGAAGGTTGGTCATTCGTTGATGTCATAGACAAAGACAAATATGCGTGTCTCTCTGTCGTCATAATAAAAAATATAATAAGTAAATATTTTAGGACACATTTTTTACACAACATTCTCTAGTCCCAAACTAAGCAACGCTTGTAATATGTGTACTAGAAAACTGATAGACATACTTATACATAATTTTCTTATGCAAATAAATACATATATAAACACCCAGACACTGGAAACGAATTTGAAAGTAGTGGGGATAGAACCCACACCCTCTTGCGCTGGAGACTACCCATTACGCCATTCGGATCGTCGATATGAAACATACTTGATAATAAAAACAACTATTTTATAACCTCTCTTATATAAATAATAATAGTGTATTATACAAAAAAATAATTAAATAAATAGTTTCATTATAATAAAACATGTAATTTTTAAAATGTGGTGAGCTCCGCAACAAATTCGATTAGGTGTGCGGATACATGAGTAAAAATGATAAAAGAAAACGATAAAAGTTATTGCTGGTGCACTCGTGCTGGGTAGAAGCAATACTCCGTACCTAATCCTGCATTAAAATTAATAAATTTGTCTATGAGTGGGAAAAACCATGGCCTACTTCATGAACCATTATAGCTCATACCGGCCAGTTTTAAAGTGACTTTGGCGATAAACTTTTATCAAATTTGGATGATAGGTTTGTAGAAAAACATTTAATAAAGGAATTTAAAATTATACAAAAAGATCAACTGCTCTAAAGTGCGAGGATAATATTTTTCTCTTATTCCTATCCGGGAAGAATTTAAAAGCAGTCCACTCTAACCAATTCTGTTTTCGAACGTTACAGGTAAAAGAGCTGATGCAAAGCGCCCAAAGGCTGACGGACGAAGCTGTGGAATATCAACTGGAGAGGTCCTTAGCTCCAGCAGGCGATGGACTTTACAGGTTTGCTTGGATCAGAACTAAATCACCACCTCGTTTTACATAATAACTACATGTCCACACGATCATCACGATGATAGCTTTGTCGTAACCATCATTGATGTGATTGTCATTATTATCGTCGTCGTCATCTTTTTTATCGCTACCTTCGTCATCATAAGATTCGTCTGTGTTATAAAGGTGACGACATACATTAATACCGCCATTCCCGATGAGTCTCCAATTAGCCAACTACAAGCAACATCGACCAGGACACAATACAAGGCACACATTAACTGCTTAATATACCAAACAATCTTTTTTACATTTGTTTCAATGTAAAAATTTATCGAGAACATTTGTTTTTTGCATCCACTCGAAATGTTGAAATGAAACTGTTACTACTACTAACAGTAGTGATAAGTAACCGATTTCATCACTCTTATTCCAAATTTAAATGTTCAAACTCTCCCGTAGTCTCGTTACTATGAATGCGTTTAATTTTAATACTTCTGGCCATTACATACTGCTTCAGTCACATCGTAGACTTCGTCACCGTCGTTTTATAGAGGACGTAAACAAGGCCACTGTAGTACAACATACCTGTAGTATAATTGCGAACCTTTAAGACATGGTTATATCACCCACCAAAAGAAATAGAAAATTTTAATCTTAAAAAAATGTCAACTATTTTTTTTTATGCGAAACCTGATGTGAATACCGCCGCCCATGGACATCTGCCACACCCGAGGGATACAGATTCGTTGACAACCTCTTGAAAATTGGGCTCCGGCTACCTCACTCACCAGACTAAACGCGAAAGTATTTGTCATACTTCCACTTTACGCTGGTCTTCTGTGAGGTCGTGACACTTACCCGGACGGGCCTGCCCATTCGTGCAACAGCCGAGGCTGCTGCGTGGCCCTACCAACTTAATGGGGGACTTTCGAGTGGCCGTGATACTTTCCCCAATACTTCGACTTATTCACGCAACAGTACGAACTGCTGTGCGATTTAACTACCATAACCTTCATTACCATGTCCAACTACTCGGCTACTTCACTCATCAGACGAAACGCAGAAGTATGACATTTTCACTTCACGTCGGCCCCAGTCAGATAATAGCTACCGATCGAGCCGAGGTCCGGCCCTCTCGGGCACTATCGAATCGGAATGCTAAACGCGTATGGATTGACAGCCCAAGCCGAGGTCCCCTCTCGGGGGCGCTTGAGCCCAGTCACTCCATAGAGCGTCTGCCAAAGCGCCCTAAGAGCTTGGCGGCCTCCCAAACTGGCGATAATAATAGCGTGACGGCCCGAGCCGAGGCTCCCTCGGGAGCCCTCGAACTTAGTCACCATAACGCGTAATAATAATATGCCGAGGTTTAGGCTAGGCGCCCCGAGCGTCAGGCCACCTCAAGTCCGTCGGATCTGTAAAGGCCCCTAAGGCCAACAGTGGCTCATCAAGCCCAAAAAACAAACACGCCGGTTTTCAAACCACCTTTGGGGACTGAAGTAATACACAAAATTACATGTCAAGTGAATTCCATTTATGACATTGTTATTTAATAATGTTGTTACTTTTTTCTAAATCATTTTGTATAACCACTAATGTCATTAAAAATAAAATATTCTCCTGCAGGTTGACATATGACCAGCGTGTGAAGCTAGTGACGCTTCTGCCATTCCCAAGCGATTATTTGAAACAGATATATACGACGCCTAAAACGCCAACCCTGGCCATAATAGCGCTGGACGTCCTGAATTCGGGCACCTATAGGGACGTGCCGTTCTTAACCGACGAGAAGGCTTGGCCCAATGGCAATTTCAAGTTCAAAATAGTGCCGGGCGTCCATGACGTTCACATTAATGATCCTGGCTGTATGGCTGCGGACATAGCTGCGTTCCTAACGGGATCTGTGGCGAAACTATGACAGCACTTTTGGCGGGAAACCATTAAAATTCGCATTTAACTTGTATTGTAATTTAGTTTTTTTTATTTGGTTGGGGTGTGCACAAACAGTTATCTTTTTACAGAAAACGAGATATAAAAATGTTTATACCTATCAATTGACAATTTGACATCATCATCATCATCATATTTTTTAACTTTTGGTAATCTACGTGTTTAAACATTATTATAAAACCGATTCTGTTTAAATGGGGTGAAAGAATTTTAAAATACAATGTACTTACTACGCTATCGTTAAAGTTATTATGAAGCATTAGTGAAATTAAAATGCCCAAGTGATTGCAAAGTGGTGATAATGTTTGTATATTGTTGTCAAAGTTTTTAACATTTAGCAATAATGTAATTTCAATGCCTATGTGAAATTTAAATAATTTTTCTATCATAAAGACAGTTTTATATTATCACATTAAGTACCCTTCTGGTAATATTTTAAGGAAGAAAGCCAATCTTAGTCTGTCTAACTAGTACCTAATTGTATAGAAAATAAATCTATGTAGGATATGAAAATCAATATTTCAATTCTCAAACATCAATATTGATTTTGAGTAAGCAGATGCAGAGCAGTTATATTTGCTAATCTGTAATTGAAAGAGGATGCAGTGGGGTTCACCGTTAGTAGTGGGTAGTGGGTAACCTCTGATGAAATGGTGTGAAAGTAATGTTTACATTTTTGTATCTTGATATGGAAGCAAGTTTATGTTAAATCAAGCTTTACAAATGGATGTTTTGTTATTTTGAAAAAAAAAAAAGGTAATATGTTTATTCTGGTTTTGGGAACTTATGATTGCATTCCGTAAATGTTATTTCGTTTTAAAATAATATATGTTATATTTATATTGAAAATAAAAGTTGTTAAAATATTTGGGTGTGCAATTTAATTGTATAGAGATAGAAATAATCAGATGCCGTAGACAAATAGTGCTGTGAAATTTTCAGCAATTTTTAAAATTTCCAAAGTATATCCTATCGCCATACAGTGTGCACAAATCAAAGAATACTTTATGTATCTGATAAAAAATATAATTATATATTATCTGAAAATACATAAGCACAAATAACAAATGCTTTTGACACTTAAAATTATAGACCAAATAAAAATTACGAGATGGGTAAAAATACCCAAATTTGAGATTTTTCGAACCTTTAAAAATTCATATCAGGTGGCTCAGGATCGTACTTCATGGCAGTTTATGGGGGAGGCCTATATTCAGCAGTGGACTCAAGGCTGAAATGATGATGATGATGACACAAATAATTGTCCAGTGTGAGATTCGAACCCACGCCGAAGGCAATGCCTTGACAACTGCGCAATGGTCAGTGATCTAGCGAGTGGTATTCGCGAATTAACATATAACTGACTCCAAAGTGCGAGATAATGAATGGTGTCTATGGCGAAATGGGTATCAACACTAAGTCGTGTTTGGTTTTCATTAGATTGTTGAGATCAAATCGTTCTCATTCTTTTAAATTATATCGAGGCATTTTTGTAATAAATACTATAAGGTACATTCAATGATTTAGTAAATACTACAAAATAAGTATATTAATTAGAAAAAAATATCAGATACAATTTGTGAGTCAGTGATAAAAAACAAACATAATTTCCAAACGACAAAGCAAAATAATATCCGAATATCCTTTTTTTTTTGTTAACGTGGGGGAAATGCCTAAAGCATACCCACCCTCGCAGGGGCGAGAGGGGGTTATGTTGGACTCGCACCGACTAAAACCCCCACCTAGGCGCATATAGGCAGGGCCACGGGAACGCTTTCGCACACTTCCGCGACCCTGCCAGCGCTGGCCACCTCGGCAGCCCCCTCTCGGGGAACAACCCCCTATCCTCCAGGCAAGGCGCGCTGGAATATTCAGCGCGCCTTCCTACTCGGCCCCTTTTATATCCGAATATCCTAACCTAACCATATCTATATTACTAAACAGTGACAGATTTGTCCGTTGGTCGCCCTAGGCTCATTAAAGATTAAGAGAAAAGAAGTATCTCGCTGGAAGGCACAAAAAATTAAACAAAGAAAGTTAGTACATGATATTATGGAGCCGACGAATGGTACCTACTTATCAGGCCCGCTTGATTTGTTATAATATTCATGGAATATCGCCTACGCAAAGAAGCGAAAGGCGAAAGGCAAGCAACGCTACTAAAAGACCCCAATAATTTGCAGCCCCCTACATTTGGCCCGCCGAGAACGCGGCCTATAGAGAAATCCACTACTGTTCCTAACAACTAACCAAACCGCAAACCGCAAAGAATATCCTTATACCGAGCAAAACTATCGTACCTATCGTATAAATCTCAATTGAAGAAATTCGCATTATTATTATTATTAAAATGCAAAAATGGTCGGCAATTGTCCCTTAATTAACTTATGAAAATATGTATTATACAGCGCATTTTATGAAGAACAACGCCATCTAGTTTTTGCATGGGAACTAATTCCTTATCTTTTTACTTAGCTTTTTTTAGTGAACCAATTGCAATAAAACAAAGCTTTAATGTTGCACAGAATTAATCTTGAATACTTACAAAAACACCATACAAATTAGTCCAGTAGTAGGATAACTGTGATAAATGTTTGCGACTGCACTGCTTTAATCTTAAAACTCCCATATCTCCCGTTTGAGTGAACCGATTGAGATGAAACAAAGCCTAGGTCCTGCCTCAAGCTTTGCTTAAGTAACCAGTGAAAACTGCATCAAAATCCGATAAGTAGTTTTCAAGTTTATCGCTAACAGACAGACAGAAAGACAGACAAAAATTTCAAAAATGGTTTTTTTGTTTCCTATAACACTTTTTATGATACCCTTTTTCATTTTTTCATAAAAATATTCAATGTACAGACACGCCGATTCTACTCTTTTATTATAGTAAAATGAGAAAGATATTATTAAACTAAAATTCGCAAAATAGAATAGACATGATTCTAATGAGCTTAAAAAGTGATATAAAGTTTTTTCTTTACGTATAGATCTATAAAGTTAACATATTCACTATAAAAAAAAATCATAATAAGCCTATTTTTTATGTTTTTTTTTATGTGAAAGTTGTCAAGCGAGCAGATGGTTTACCTGATTTTAAGTGAATACCGCCGCCCATAGACATCTGCTACACCCGAGGGTTACAGATGCGTTGACAACGTTGTGAAAATTGGGCTCCGGCCACCTCACTCACCAGACGCAACGCGAAAGTATGTGTCGTACTTCCACTTTACGCCGGTCTTCTGTGAGGTCGTGGGACTTACCCGGGCGAGTCTGCCTATTCGTGTAACAGCCGAGGCTGCTGCGTGGCCCTACCACCGTAATCAAACAAAAGCCTCTTGCGAACACGGGAAACAACGCTTGATGGGCAGTAAACCATATCCATACTTTCATGTTACAGTAATTCTAGTGATAATTTCTGAAATTTTCACTTTCTTTCGCCCTTATATATCTTATTTTTTGTTAAAGAAGAAATAATAATTATGTCATTACGTTTCGAAAATAATTTATTTCCATATTGACACTCACTAAAACTCTTACCTGATTGCCAAAACAATCAGAATTTTCAGCAATGGTATTAATATATCATATAAGTAAGCTTTGTTATAAAAATACTTTTCATCTTAATATATTTTGGGCCCAACAATGTATGAAAGATGATCAGTCTCGTTTCCTAAAAACCATTTTGAATAGGTAACTATAGTATTATACATTAAACATTTATTAATATACCGTAATATTCTTTAAAATAATTTGATCAAATCATAATATGTATTTATTGTTTTCAATAACTGGTAACTTTATTTTCTTTATTACCAGATGGCGCTACTATAGTTTAAAGCACGCTATCGTTTGACTTTCACGTGTTCACTAGGCTTTTCCAGTCACTATTATAAATCTTCCCCGAGTCGAGCCTGACTCATTCAATTTTTGAGAAACCCTACATGGTTACATGAATAGGTTATCTATTTTGCTGTTTGTTGCTTCTCAATTTCTCATTAACGTAATAACATAAACTTATTTAACAACTAAACGTAAATTACGTTAAAGATTAAACGTATAATACATTATAATACGGTAAAGTTGTACACGTACAGAGTACAGATACAGTGCATCTTTTTTCTAAGACGTCCTAAGGGACGTCTTAGGAAGAGATGAAAATACTTATGTTTTCTCCAGTTTTGTTTCGGTTCGGTTAAGAAGTTAATAATTCCATATGATTTCGGTAACTAATAATCAATAAGTGCAGTTATTAACGAAAACTAAAAGAAATTTTGTCATAACTGTTGTATGTTATAGTTGTAGTGTGTAGTGTAAAATCTATGTAAAATCTGCGAAAAAGTTTCTTGAAATAGTTATTCTTAGTGGCAGTGAAAAGTGTATTGTCAATCTTTAGGATATGATATGATATCCTGTTATGAATAAAATATCGCACATCATACAGTACAATGTATATGTGTAAAACTGTGATTAACTGTGTGTTTAATCAACAAATATACTTTTACAATGGATTTAAGTTTTAAGCTGTTGAAAGTTCAAAAAATTTGTAAACATTTACACTACCTACTAAATTACTAATAGAGGGCGCTGTACATACCGATAATTTACACCTTACATTTATTGCCATCTAGTGGTCAATAGAAAAAATAAAATATTAACGGCGACAGAGGGCAGTAATCGATAAAAAACAAAATTTCGCCGAAATATTAAGCAAGTAATTGTGGGGGGGCGGGGGGTGAAAAACTATTTCGAAAATCACGTCTGTTGTATGGGAGGCCCATTTAAACATTTCTTTTATTCTGTTTTTTAGTATTTGTTGTTATAGCGGCATCAGAAACACACCATCGGTTCATGAGATGTAGCCTACACACAGACAGACAGAGAGACAGCGGAGTCTTAGTAATAGGGTCCCGTTTTAGACTTTAGGTATGGAACACTATAAATTAATATTTTTAGTGTTCTATCTCC